CTGATTGATAAAGGAGAACATCCTAAGTATACTAAACAGCATTATACAAAAGACATGGCATAACAATATAGACCACATAGTATGCTGGTAGCACTCCCAAACTTCTAATACTGTACTTGAGAAGTTACTTCAACAAGATCAAGCTATTTACTCTATTTTCATATCAATGTTCAATTATAATTATTCTAGCCTGAGGGTTAACATCTAACTAATGCAAGAAATGATAATGATGATATTACAGTAATTCTATTTTTTCCAGTCTCACTTTGATCATTGTCATCTTCCTCAACATTTTATGGTAAATTTTTCACACATGGGTTAGCTATGGCTGCATAGTCTCTTGCAACCTCTCTCATTAGGTTCTTATTTCTGAGGTCATTTCTCAAAACCTCTCCCAATGTCATACTTGGCCTACCCCTAGTTCTCCCCACCTTCATATTCAAAATTATGCACCTATTGATTCAAACAGTCTCCTCCATTCTCTCCATATCCTCTACAAAAAAAACCTTGCCAACCTTTCAATAACTAGCTGCCCTCTTAGCTTTGTACAGGGTTTCCTATCTCTAAATGTCACGTTACATACAGTATTCATCTCACCATTGCAATTTCAGATCACTCTAGCCTTCATATATCATCCTCTTTAATCCTTTCAATACTAAAATGGCAGTTGACTCTGGACATGTCATATAAGGAAAGGGAACCTGTTACCAGTACAGTAAGTCCTCACTTAACATCGGGGTTACATTCCTGAAAACACGACGTTAAATGAAACAACGTTAAGCGAATCAATTTTCCCCATAAGAAATAGATAAAATACGGGAGTTACATTCCTGAGCCTCCCTTTGCCCCTGAAAAGAAGTTACATATACAGAAAATTATTGCCATTTCTATAGAGCAGGGGTGGCCAACCTGTCGATCGCAAGATCTTCTCTAGTCGATCACATGGCAAAGTTAAACTTAATGATCCATCCTTCTTAAGCTGCCATACAAAAATCCTCTTCAAATTTTACTCATAATCATTGGGATATTATATTTGTTCAGATTTTTTCTGGGAATAGATTATCACTGTGGACACAACAGAGCGATATATACAAAAAAAACTTCGACTGTGCCATGCTATGTGTGACGGAACCTGTTCGCGTTCATACGGGCCGGTGCTGGCTGGTTCCTGGCAAGGAAACTGATCAGCAAGTTTTCATCAGTTGTAAGCTAAAACTAAGCAGGTATTTGCTTTTATAAGTTTACAAATACACGTTAAACCTTGTATTAATGAATTTAGTAATGAAAAAGTCGACTTAATATTGAGGAGTCTTGTCAAAAGTAAAGAGAGAATCATATTTGGCAACCTTGCCCAGCGAGCCTACACACTTGTCACCAACAATGCAGTGATTTTCAGTCATCTGCAATACTTGGAAGTGTGAGGTGCTGCCTCTTGTTATGGAAAAGTCTTGGGTGATTACAAGAATTACCGTATATCTCAGCCTACAAGGCGATAGGGTGTACTGTATAAGATGACCCCAAAAATTTTCATTTAAAAAGTAGGTTTTGAGCTCTATTCGCTGTATAAAACCGGTACCGCAAATGTGACACTTACCATTGGGAGCTTACTGACCCAGTAGTCCTTTACCAACCATCCCATTGACCAGTGCTGTTTACACATCCTTGGTTTTTTAAAATAAGGCCAATTCACTTCAAGTAATGGCATCAAATGTTAACGGTTGGTGTAGTGTAAACACTAGTGACGTCACTTAAGCGTCTGTTATTTAACTGGAACTAACGTCGGTGTCGAGTAAAATTTTTCCATTTACAGGTACAGGTTGTACCTCTCTAGTCCGGCATTCTTTGGTTCGGAAACTCCCGTGGTCCGGAACGATTTCAGTTTGTCCAATAGGTAGATAGGCAGCTTTTTTTTTTTTTTTTTTTTTTTATCTGAATTATTATTATTATTATTACTGTATTACAGGGGTAATAAATTTTTGCCCCTCAGGCCCCAATGTGGGTCAGTGACCTATGCCCGGGTGGGCTAATCCCCGTAAAAAAAAACAACAACAAAGCCATGGGAAATTAAGGTTTGTTTACATCCGGCAGTTTGGCTGCTCTCTCTCTCTCTCTCTCTCTCTGCTTGTCTATACAGAGTACAACATTTAACCCTTCAATATATATGAGCAGTAAATAAGTGTTGCTTTCATATTCTTATGTAGAGTAATGACGCTATGTTTCCACATGTGCGCACTTGCATACGTGCAGTCTCACTTTTTTTTACCATTAATGGTTAGCTACTTATAATGTTCCATTTATTAACATTAAATAACATTACAGGTACTTCAAACAACCATATTTATTTTTTTACATTAATTTTACTACAGCTACAATCAGGGTCTTATTTTCTTCAGTTTTATATGTAGAACCAATCATTCACTGGTTTTGTAAGCTTTAACATAAACAATGCCGGCAGCCGTCTCGTCTTCTCATGTGTTTTAATATTCCACATATTATTAATAAATTGCATTGTTAATTTTGCACACAAACATTAATTCAATAAAAACAAATTCAGAAACATTAATTAAAATATATATGAACAGTAAATAAGTGTTGCTTTCATATTCTTATGTAAAGTAATGACGATATGTTTTCACGTGTGCGCATGCGCACTTACGCGATCTCTCTTTTTTCTTTACCATTATCGTTAGCTACTTCTATTGTTCCATTTATTAACATTAAATAACATTACTTAAAAAAACCATATTAATTTTACTACAGCTACAACCAGGGTCTTATTTTCTTCAGTTTTATATATAGAACCAGTCAGTCACTGGTTTTGTAATCAACGAAAACAATGCTGTGTCATTTCCTCGTGTGTTTTAATATTCTACGTATTATTAATGAACTGTATTGCCCATTTTGCACACAAACATTAATTCAATAAAAAAGACATTCAGTAATAAACAATAATGAATCTTTTGTACATAAGAGAAATGATGCTGTTTACACGATTATGCACGTTAGTGGGCCGTTCAAACCCGTCGAAATTCAAGTTTCCGCTATACTGCCAGACTGAGGGTCACTAATACTAAGGGTAAATACTTAACTCTAATCTTAATTTCTAAGGGTCGCTGCCACCAAACCCCCTCTGGACAGCATGTAGCTCGTTAGGTAGCGTGCAGAGTGGACTAGGCATTGGGTTAGGTTTTTCATTGAACCAGATCGATAAGGGGAAAGAAGGGTGAAACCACAACATGTCATAGTTCTTTCAAATGTTCCTTCTACTTACTTCAGTTCATTTTTGGTACTACCTAACCTCAGTTCTTCTTGGTAGCATGTCGATGGTCTAGGCACATGGGTAGTGTAATTCTGATATCAGGGTCACTTGGACGGAAATAAAGGTAACTACTGTGGGAGAAAGGAATACTCCTAAAATTCTCAAAGAACAAGTTTATTAATATAAAATCAAAGGGGAAAATAGATGTTATTAGCATATAACTACCAGGCTCAACTCCTGGGCCTATTGCAGACTCTGTATTCCTTATTTACTTATTTACTCAACAGCAATTACTCAGATATTACACTCTTACCGTGCACCCTCTTACTGGTGTCACATTACATAGCAGGACCAGTTCCTTGTCCTTACTCACAATACACTAATACTGATACAAACACCGACATGGGTCCACCACCCAACATGGGGTAATTATTAACAAACATATACAACCACACTGTGGGCCATAACTCCAAGGCCTGTCCCAGGGTATAGCACTGGCGCCTCTAACAACTACTGTTGTGGTCGGTTACACTCTGACACGAGGTGGGTCTGGGGTCCTCGGCCCACGAGGTAGAGTGGAGCTGATAAATCATGCCGAATCAGCACCATCACTCCTATATTGACCACTGCTGGGTATCCACCGGCTCCGAGCGACCGGTGGGTTTCAATTAAGCACAACCCTCGATCTGAGAACGAAGGTGAAAGGTGATATGGGAGGTCTATTCCTCCCGCCTCGCACTGGTTTATATACCCCCGAGTTGCCAGCAATTGCTGCTCACGCAATGACAGAATTACAAACAATTTGACTGTTACTCATTCAAGGATGACCTTCAGTTGACAAAGGTCTGGTGAATTACTAAAGTTGATTTACACAGACTAATTCAAGATTGCGTTTGCCAGTAGAGAGTGCAATAAACGTAGTGACAACTGTGTTCGAAGGCGGGACTTACTGGGGAGTGATCCTGAGTGTAAAACGGATGGGAAAAACATGTCTCTCCTGAGATTCTACAAGTGAGGTGGATTTGAATATTTTGTAGCGTAATATGAATTAAAATGGGTTTTTAGGAATGACAATGATGTGCGCAGTACACCACCGTCAAAATTTTTATTTATTTTTTTTGTGTGTGTTCCAATAAAATATGTTGAATTAAAAACTCGCGAAATTTGAGAAGCTACTATACGACATTTAACCCTTCAATATGTCTTCAAAGAGACCATGATGCAGAGAAAGTGGTGCTAGTGCTTCCAAGCAAAAGCACAAGTCACTATCTATCCAGGAAAAGGGTAAATTTCCATGGTCCGGCACCGGTCAGGTCCCGAGGTTGCCGGACTAGAGAGGTACAACTTGTACTTGAAATGGATTTACCAATTTATTTATTTATTTATTTATAATACAGTCAGCCCTCACTTTACGCGGTTAATGTAACCCACAGGGTACCGCGGAAAGTGAGAAACGCGTAAAGTGAATAACATAACATATGGGATTAAATGAAATAGAGACCAGCTGACCCCCAAACTCCACTTTTTCCAACACAATACCTATGTTCTAGTAAAAATAACATCTTAATTTTATGATGGTACATGCACACAATTAATACTTAAGAGAAATAGAGAAATACAGTCGCCAAGTTAATGTCCATTCAAATAATGGACTGGACCCCTCCCCCTCTTCTCACACTACACTCACTGGCTCTTCCCTCAGAGAAATTTTGGGGGGAAAACCAGGTATAGTAATAAATAA